AAAGTTTCACCCACTGATTAATCTAGATATGGGTTGTGAATTACACCGTGCCTTCAGGTACGGGCATACGCTAGTAATTTTATAAATGACAAATAAGAACAAAACTTCACATATAAATGAAATAGTATAAATGTGAAAAATTCAGGGGGCACATGACCCTTCTGGTCTCAATGTGGCTTCACTTCTTAGTACATTTTATTTACATTGCACACACTTTTTTATTTTTATTTTTTATTTTCTTTCCAAATTTTATCAAAATCGATGAACCAAATGAATCTGATAATTTTTTAAATTTGACAAGCCTATAGTGTGAAGCCTCTTTAGAGAGGCATATAATATGCACTCTATCAGAAATTGACATAATTTTATCACAAAATTTCATAATATCAATCATAAAATGTATAATCTCGTCATAAATTGATATAACAAAATATTCAAAATTTTGTAGTTAATGTTATAAAAGTATGTGATTTGATATGATATTTTTTATTATATCAATTTGTAGCCAAGTTACACATTTTGTTATTAATATTATAAAATTTTATAATAAAATTATGCTAATTTATAATATAGTGCATATAGTATGCACCCCAAAAGGGTGCACATCATAGAGTTTTTCGTAAGTTAAATGTGGGTAATATAATAGCCATTCGTTTTAATTTTTTTACTTTTAAGATTATGACCAATAACTCTAAACTAACATATTCAAGAAGTTATTTAGTGGTGGTCCTGAGATATGATTACATGGTACTCAAGACTATTATATGATACATGGAGTAGGAATGGCAACGGGGCGGGGCGGGGCCGAGGATCGCACTCCCCGTCCCCGATCCCCGATGGTAAAATTGTCCCCGTCTCCGGCCCCGATCCTCGACGGGAAACCAATCACCGTCCCCGTCCCCGCCCCCTAACGGGGATCGGGTTTCCCCGACCCCGAAATTCCCCGGACCAAAAAAAAAAAACCAAACAGAGAGGGATATGGATGGCAATCTGAACAATACCAAAAGCTCATCAATATAGATTATTATCAACAACAGAGAGCATTATCAACAATAACTAAGCATTATTATCAACAACATACATCATCATCAACAACATAGATCATCAATATAGATCATAATCAAAAAACAGATCAAAAAAGAAACAGATCATTATCATAGATCCCAAAAAAAAAAAACAATAACAGAACAAAAAAAAATGCGATCAGAAGCTCTCTCTCACTGTGCAGATCTGTGAAGATCTGTGAAGATCGAAGCTCTCTCTCATCGCAAAAATGGCAATCAGAACACTGTGAGTGAGGGACTGAAATCAGTGAGATATAGGAGAGAGAGTAGAGGGAAGAGCGACGGCGGCGGTGAGTACGGCGGTGGTGAGGGAGAGCGAGCGAGCGGCTGTAAGGGAGAGCGAGCGAGTGGCGGTGAGGGAGAGCGGAGAGAGAGACAGAGAGAGGCGTGTTTTGTGTGAGTGTGAACCTATACACTGATCCCATCCCAACTAGACACATATATGTATATAGATGGGCACAAACGTAATTTTACTTCGGGGAAATACGGGGCCGGGGCCGGGGCCGGGAAAGCTATCCCCATCCCCGGCCCGAAATTAATCGGGGATTTAATTTTGAATACCATCCCTGGCCCATTGGGGATATTTTTCGGGGAAAAACCACTCAATTCGGGGACGGGGGGTCGGGTCACCGTCGGGCCGGGTTCAGATTGCCATCCCTAACATGGAGGAATGGGGTTCATAATTTTATGTTAGATTACAAGGAAATAATAAGAGTATTTTATTTGGTGATTAGGGAGGGGACATTACCAGATGACATCCCTCGACCATCAAATATTTTTTTTCTGTTATTCGATGTCCGTTTGACTATTTTTTTAAATAAAAGTTACTTTTAATTAAACAAGTCAAAAAATAAAAGGGAAATTTCAAATTAATGTATAAGTTAAAAAATAATGAGTCAAAAAAGAAAAAGGGAATTTCAAATTAGTATAAGGTAAAAAATAATTTCAAGTTAGCCCTCGACCATCAAATATTTTTTTTCTGTTATTCGATGTCCGTTTGACTATTTTTTAAATAAAAGTTACTTTTAATTAAACAAGTCAAAAAATAAAAGGGAAATTTCAAATTAATGTATAAGTTAAAAAATAATGAGTCAAAAAAGAAAAAGGGAATTTCAAATTAGTATAAGGTAAAAAATAATTTCAAATTAGTAGTAAACTTTATCAATATTAATAATTAAAATTATAAATTTTTTCATATATATAAATAATAATTTTTTGCAATTACCACTGGCATGTAATTTTTTCAAAAATAAATAAGTTATTTTATTTGACTAAATAAATAAGTTTTTCATAAAAATTATTATTTTGAGAATCTAAAATAATTATGCAAACCTGATTTTACTCTCTGGATAATTATTTATATTTACCACGAGTCTACAACAACGTTAGTGGTAATACGAAAATTTTACACAAAAATCAAATTTTGAAAAGGATCACATTTTTTTTTTGTCCAAAACAACATATTATTTTTTTGGCAATTATCATCAGTGATGGAGCCACATGTGGTCACGTGCCCCCTGGAATATATATATGTACTAGCGTATGCCCGTACCTGAAGGCACGGTGTAATTCACAACCCATATCTAGATTAATTAGTAGGTGAAACTCTGTTGACCTCCACTACCCCTACAAAGTTTCCAAATCCAAAAACTGAATCTCTAGTTTTCAAAAAATGTAACATTATTTCATCTAGCTTTCAAATACAGTGGAAAGAAACAAATAAAAAGAAATTCATAAGACATGAATTATTAGTTCAGCTATTAGTGTCATGTGCAAATTCAAACTTCTAGGAACACTCTATTCTCTCAACAGCCATAAAAATTAAATCATAAATACATTGTCAATGAAAACCTTAACTTTGGGACCAAACCCAATGAAAATATGGATTTACAAAACAGTTGTTTTCTCTATCATTTCCCTCAAAGTAGAAAAATCAGCGCAAAAAATCACTTCACAATTTTAAATTTTTTTTGTTTACAAAAAATCAATTTTACGAACACTAAACACTATTAATGAAGATAATAAACACTGATATACACTTACAATGATGTACACTTACAATGAGAAAATAAAAATCTAACAACAAACAAATAAATCAAATCCAAACAATTGCATCAAAACACATAAGATTGCAGTATACATTAATCTGAATCCAAAATAAACAAAACTGCGAATTTTCAATCTACAATGTGATAAATATTATTTAGCTATAGTTTTTTTTCACCACTCATACAATACCATGTTCAACAATACCTTGCTCCCAAACTTTACCATGTTCAACAATTTATAGTCAAACCCATAAAAAAAATGAAAATTAAGCATTTAGTGCAAAAGTTCCCATTTTTCGACCACAAAATAGAACTACAATACCTAGATTGGATGCTCTTATGAACTTTGCAATGCCAAGCTAACCTGCTAAGAATTTGATAAAAACACATAATTATAAGACATCAAAATTAAAGTGAAAGGAAAAAGTGAACATAATGTTGAGAAGCATGAGCGTACTACTTGGAGATTGAAGCTTCAACGCTTCAAAAACTTTGGTCGCACAACTACCAAAGGAAGCAGGCAGTGATCTGATGGATTTTTTTGATCTACCAATGAGTAAGTGCGTTTCAATTAATATATCATAACAATGAGCGGGTTGTGGGATTATTTGGTGGGTTTTCTTTACTTCTACAACTTATATGCTGCTTTACATGCACATGGCTACCAAGAACAGTTACCTTGCAAACAATCACAATTTGTTATTGCTTTGCGAATAATCACAATTATCAACCTCTTTGTGAACAACATCGAGAACAGAATCGATAATGACCTTTGGCCCAATTAAAAACAAAAAAAAAAACAAAAACAAAAACAAAAATGCTCCAAAAGAAATGTTATACTGAATGGGATGCTGAATTTGGATGGGATAGCCTCTGTTTTTGCTAAATCTAGATGGGCTAAGTCCATGATGGTGAGTGTTTGAAAAAGGTGGGAAGTTATTCGATGTGGGAAGTTAGGCAGATACAATTATTGAAGTTAAGGCTGTTAGTAAAAAAATTCTGAGAGTATGGCTCTAAAGTAGCTGTTGGCTTTTAATTAAGTCACTATACGAAGATACAAAACTATAACAAATTGTATTAGGGGAAAAAAAAAACCAAACGACACTAACAAATAGAGGGGGAAACTAACCAGTGGTAATGAGAAAAACACTAAATGGTGCAATAAAAAAAACCAACTCTAACCAGTTTACAACAAAATTGGTCACCACAGCCATCTTCCTCAAACCAGTTCAAAAAACTATTGTAGTTCTTGGTGCTTGGATGGGTTTAATAAACAAATTGTGGGTTTATATTTTGTTTAAAAAATGTATTAGATTGATTCAAAAAAATGTATTAGATTGATTCAAAAAATTGTGGGTTTGGGAGAATGGAATTCTAATAATAACAATCTAAAATAACACAATGTAATTGGCCCATAAACAATCAACACAAAGAATTGGATTGTCAACACAAAGAATTGGAGAACTTACCTCTGTTGAACTGAAGAACGATGGGTTTGAATTGTAGCAACACAGAAAGAGAAGTGGAGAGGCAGAAATTGAGTAAAACACAACATAAAAAAACACTGAAATTACCTGAATGATATTTAATCAAAAACAGAACCAGCCAAGTGATAATTATACTATTTACCCCAATCTATCAATCATCTAGAGTTTTATTTATTTATTTTTTAAAATCCATGTTTCTCTCACAATCCCTGTTTCTATAACAATATAACAGTTTGAATCATGTGATATAGAACAAACTCAAATACTATTTTTCAGTATATTTGAATAGAACATAACATTACATTGATCAATATTATATGGTTCTTCTAAATTTATGAAGTATATGTGTTGGACAGTTAACACTTGCGTAAGGGTATGGGATATGTCCGAACTTCGAAGAAATTAAGCTAGAAACGCCATATTAGAAGACTCATCACTCTTAGCAGGATTCGGAGTTAAACCAGACAAAACTCTGGAAAACAGTCAAAGCTTCTTTAAATAGAGTAATAAAACTCACATCAGCCATGCAAAAGAGTATGTATAAGTGGAAGTCAAATGAGTAATCCTTTCCTTTGCATACCTTGAGTACTTGAAGTCACTCACTGTTATCTTCTTTCTCAAGATACCTGTCAGAATTTCTATAGCCTAAACAATCAAGTAGGGTGACATGGGTACCCTTGTTTAAGGCCTTTGGCACTTGGGAAATATTCCTTCAGTTCATTATCATTGCCATTAATTAAAAAGCTAGGAGAAGTAATACATGCCTTGACCCAACTTATAAAATTTTCAGGAAACCCAGTCCCATCAAGTGTCTGGAGCTTGGAATGCCAACTTACGAAATCATAGGCTTTTCTTAAGTCCACCTTCGAAGCACATTTCCTGCCATTAGCACTGCGATGATATTTCCTGAGAAAGCAGCACATTATCAGCAATCCCCTCCATCCTCCATAATGGGCAAATTGAAGGAAGAACCATTTTAAGTCTATCAACTACAATTTTAGCAGTGCACTTATAAATGATATTAGAATAAGAGATAGGTCTATCACTTAGATTTGAAGGATTAGGCAGCTTGCCGAACCAATTAATCACTATATATTGAACTTCTTTCATCAAGCACCAGAACTGAAGAAAAAAGATATCCAAGCAATCACATCATCACCTATAATGGACCAAGCTTTTTTAAAGAACATAGCATTATATCTATCAGCTGTTAGAGCTTTTTCCTCTTTCAGTGAGAAAATAGTGCTTCATCTCTGCAGGAGCAACATACCTGAGTAACTCACATTTCTGACATTTAGTAAGTTGCTTCTTGATATAGTTTTTTATGTCATCGCCAGCCCCATGGTCAGCAGTAGTAGGCCCTAAAAGTTATCATAAAATGAGACAATGTCTTTACTTCATTTGGATCAGTATGACTGAACCACCCTACTTTGTTATTCCCACATTTCTTTGGCTAGCTCTTCTATGATTTATGGCTTTAAAGTAAAAAACACTATTCTGGTCCCCAAAATTCAACAGCTACTCAACTTATTAAAATTGAGCATAGCATTATTGTCTTCGTGAATAAGAGCTACATCATTTCCACTTCCTTTTAACTACTTGTGTAACCAGTCTTATTTCTCAACTCTTAACGATAATGATTTCTCAACTCTTAACAATAATGACCACTATATGTAAGCCTTTTTTTTGGGGTGAATAACTATATTTAAGCTTTGAACGGGTTATATTTCTCTCATTCAGAAAGAGAATTGACTTGCGGAAATATTTAGAAGTTAAATCTTGTAAGCATCAATTTCATTTTTTGCTCTCAACATCATCATACCAAAAGGTTAAGGAAGAAACTGCAATGCCTTTAATTGAAAAAAATTTAACCAAAAAAAAAATTACAATGATCATTCTATTTAATCAAAAACAGAACCAGCCAAGAGAAACCCTAACTCATTACTCAAGGTTTCAAGAATATACTCTTTCTAGAGCCCATGAAAGCAAAGGAATGGTATAGAAGCAAAGAATTAACACTTACACATCCTCAAAGCTAGTAAATCAAGGAAATTTATTACATAATTATTAAATATAATTGTATAAGCAGTTCCAATAACCCAAAGCAAAATCATTAACTTTAAAGCAAAACTTGGACGGTGTATGTTTATATATTCATATATCTATAAACATTTCTAGGAGAGATAGAGAGAGTAAACTCACGGGGATGTGCCGGAAAGCGCCGAAGCCAGAAAACTTGTTCTTGGGGATGATGTCTCAAGCGAAACGACTTCGAATTTCTGCAGATTTCTGCGAATAAAACCCATCAAATCCATTTCAAATTTTAGAAATCAAAACCCATCAAACTTTTTTGGTACAAACTATTGATTTATGGGTTGATAAAAATATGATCAAACTACTGATTTATGAGCCGATTTATGGTGGAATTTCAACATATTTATGGGATGAAAGTTTAAAAATCTGATGAAATTTTAAATATTTGAACTGATAAAGAAACCTAAAACTAACCCAACACATTGAAAAAACAATGGAAAGTTTGAAAAATCTAAAATCTAAATCTAAAATCCGATGAAAGTTTAAGTATTCATGGGATGAAAGTATTCATGGCAGAATCTTTTATTCAATTTGGTCTGATTTTGATAACAAAAATACAACAATAATTTCATGGCGTTTCATAGATATCCATAGAAAGCAAAATAAGAGAGAGACACAT